TTTGATTTTGAATACTTTTCGTTATCTCCATATGTTTTATTCTATTCGAGCAGTTTTTCCATAAGGAAACAGATAAACCACTATGTTTCAATGTATTACTTTAACAGAATTAAAAGAAAATTCTTTATCTACATTATATTGACTATGGCATTCAGTTCTAATTAACAGCAGGTCCAATAAATTGTGCCATGTTACTAGCTGATCTATTTTTGTATTCAGATGAAGCCGAATTTATTCAATACCCTGTACACAGAAATAAATGAAATACTTGCTGCGGTCTTCAGTTGGACAATTAGATAAATCATCGAAGCATTATCATCTTACAATAAATACGTTATTTCAATACATTCAATATATGAAGGCAACTGATTATTTTCTTTCAATGTAGACTATTCTGAATAAAAACACGAGTTAAGATAAACAAGAGCACGTTCTACGTGTACAAAAACGATTATTTGAAATTTTGCAATATTGGTGGACTACTTTGTACCTTTTATTTACTATTCAGCAAAATATAATGTCATATTAAAGATGTTTTTGTCACAGAATATTTTCTAAATTTATGTTCCATAGTGAGTAAAAATAAGCGTTAAAAAGTTTTGAATTTGTTGATATTTTGTCATAGGGTCTGAAGAGAATAACCAAACATTTAAAAAAAAGATAACTTATTTCGCTCCATTAATAAAACATCACTTACCTGATATAGACTGCAATTATATGACAACGGGCGTGACAGGTGAACAGGGAATATTCACATCTTTGCATCAGAGGTTTGTCTTTTCCCTCGTTTGTTTTGTTTTGTTTAATTTATGTGATCTATTGTTATTTCATTATTTTCACCTTTTCATTTCTGCATATTTTCCTATAGTGTGTTAAAGATTCTATCCACAAAATGCTAAATTTTTATTTCAGATGTTCTTGTGGTAGGAAATACTTATTACTTAAACCCTTCCAACTATAAATTTAATCAAATGGGACAATGTGCCCTGAATTTAAATTACAATTGTATGTATTCATTTAATTGTTCAAATTTCTAATCTGAAACAGATAGGGAAAATAGTTTTTTAAACAAGAGTGCCCTCTTTCTCCTTCAGTGTGAACGTTTCAAACATTCGATCGTCGTAATTATGATCTATAAAAACAGGGACTGCATATTCCCCTGTGAAACCTAGTTGATTCCGATTTCAGGTTCATTATGGTACTTGTTTGCCCTATAGTTTAGTTTTAGTCTTTTTAGTTTTTGGGTTGCATCTTTTTTAGATTGATGGCTTCTTAATTTCTTTTTTACATTTAACATCAATTGAACTTCAGAAATTTATAAGCATTTAAAGCGGTGTCATCAATCTTTTGCAAGAAATAGAAAATTTGTTCAATATTTATTGAAAGGCGATAGAATGTCGATTTTTCCATAAAATTTCTTAAAATTTATACGAACAGAAATAGCATAGAAAGTCACGTTTCTCTAATCAGTCAAAAAATGTGCATGGACTAATCTTAATATATCTGGTGGGTGCAAAAATCATTTAAATTGTCTAAAAGTAAAGAAAGGTTTTTAAGTGGAAGGCAATGGCTGAAAATGACGTCAAATAATTGTGACGTCATAAACATTAATTCTTTCGGACTTCGGTGTGTCAATCCATTACACTTAAGCGAATCGCGGCTCACTGGAAACAAGCCATCGGACTTAATTGTGACCATCTCTGCCTCTGGCATTCGTAATGACAGTGAACCATCGGGGTATGGCGCAGACCATCATGCTTCGACGTCAATATCGCACTTTGAACAGCGTCTTACACATTTGCATGTAGTTTAATTTTAGGAATTAAATGCAGAAAATAAGCTGCTATAGAAAACGCTATCGAAACTTCATGGGTTGTAGGCATTCATATAAACTGAAGCTTGCGATTCAGTAGAACTAGTAAAGAAATAGGTTACTAATTAAGATCATGGCAACAGGGGAGAAGGGAAATTGTATTTTTATCTTTATATACGAAATTTCACATATTTGTTTTAAACAGTTGTGTCACCCTAAAAGACTGCTGTTTATGTAATTGTAAAAGTCAAGTAAAAAGAGACTAGGAAACGCCCTACTGTGAAGATAGATATAAATCTTTTCTCTAAAATAATATTCTGTAAAGACAGCCTGGAAATAAACAATACTTGAAATTTATATATTTGTATATTTATTTAATTATATACACGTATATAATGCAGCCATAGATCACTTAGATCACTTATTGTAAAAGGTCTCAAATGTAAGGAACCCCGATTCTTCAAATGGCGTTGGAATTTCATAATCGTTATGGATTGCGTTGAAGATTACTTTGTAGTAGGGTGCACCCTTATCTCTTCATAACAAAGTACCTAGAACTTGTATATAATTGTTTTAAGTACTCATTAAGAAGTAAATTTCCCTTTATTTATCTCGGTCGCTAAGTATTTCCACTTCATTTGAAGTCTTTGAACTTTAAAACTGGAAAACAAACTGATAGCTTTTTACACAGTTATAAATCTTTGTTTAAATACCATATGTGGCAATCAAACATTGAACTGGCCTTCTTCAATATAATTTTCAACAAGGAAATATAAGAATACTTAGAGATACAAGTGTTTCTATCGAATAATTGCATGTGAAACACTTAGGTATATTTGAAAGACAAAACATAAAATCTCATCAATAAAATAACATTTCTTGTCACATTCTAACAAAAATAATCTTATTGACCAAACAGAGATCCAAATAATTACGACTGAAACTATTCATTAATGGATATTTCTTTAAAAAATGTAATAGATCACGAAAATAAAGAAAAATATATATTGAATATTTAGATTTCCAATCATTTGTGAGGAAAAAACCCCCCCCAAAAAAAAATGGGGCAATAGCTTTACCTCCTCATAAAATGGTACTGTGGTAATAGAGTGTTTTTGTAGAGTTGTGAAGTAAGACGTTGATCCATATGTCAATGGTTTGAACCCCGCTGTACTACAGAGACTGGTCTTGCAGGTGGGGTCATATTAACCAAGGCCGCAGGTCATAGTAGATGCTGACACAAATAAGATTCCATCTGCTTAATGACCCATTAGATTGGACTTATTCTTTGCTATTGTATGTCATATTTTGAATCACGAATTTGGTGAGTACCGGTACGTAACTATTCTTGACTTCATGATGATCATTCCTTTCGCTCATGTGACAATTGCTATTTGTAGTCCTGAAAGAATGACTGTCTTTACGTATGTGTAATCAGTCGTTTGGAAAATATAGGTCAGATCAAGCATCCGAAGCAAGTTTAGATTGTCCATCCTTAGATGCATCATACATGCAATTTTGGTCCAGTTAGGGATTATGGCTTATTGGGAATAACCTGGTCACTAATCTGGAAATTGTAGGTCAGATCCAGCATCCGAAGTAAGTCTGGCTTAAACATTTCTACAAACCGGTCACAACCGCCGAGTGCTCCTTGTCATGATCAGGAAAAAATGGGAAAATCCGTCGTCAATTCATTGTGTAAAGATGGACATACAATTAGTATGAAAAATGTCAGTCAGCAGTTGAGTCAATAATAAATTGTATTTGCTGACAAGCTCGTTGTATCGACCATACAACTTATGGAATAAAGATTTAAACGAAACAGCTAATATTCTTGTTTCACCAACTTGCTTGTTGATAATTTACTTCGTTAACGAGGTTGGCTCCCGATATTTAACGTCTTGAACTCTTTTGTCAAGTACGTATTTTTTTAGTTTCTGCAAATATAGCTTAATTTAAAATGACATAAAAAATGATCGACATATTCTTTGATGTGAAAGGACCTTGATATTATTTAATTTTACTCATTTCTCCAAAATGCATGGAAAAAATTCTAAATGACAAGCAGATTGAATTTTTCAGTGCTTTTTATATTAAACTTTGGTTCTAGATTCTGTGTAATGATTTATAAAGACTTTTAATTCCTGAAATTTAACTTCTAATGTATAAGTACAGGAGAAAATGCCTTCACTGCCAAAAAAAAAAAGAATTGCCACGTACTTCTCACAATCTTCCTTGTGACAAGCATATGACCTAGAGCCAGGAAATTGTAGAATAAGTCACTCCAAAAAGTAAATAAATAAATAAAATTAAAAAAAAATTCGTAAGACTCGATGTCTCTCACGACAGTACTTGTTTGCAAACGAATTTTAAAACGTATATCACGCCCATCTTTAATGCGTAAATATTTTATATGTCCCCTAAAACCAGAGGAGTCCCTTTAAAAAAGAAAGTCTAAGACTAAAAACCTAAGTCTATGTAAAATTTTTCAAAAACTTTTGCTTTTGTTTGATAATGCAAGAAGGAAAATATATCATCTTTCATTCCATTCAAAAAGTTTTAAACAATTTTCAATTTAATATAAATTAATAGTTTAAGGAGAATAGAACTTTGGTATTTGTCGTAAGTTCTTACTTGTAAAACGGGCCCAGCATTTTAATTTTTTCATGGATGGATCCTTTTTACAAAATTCGTGTGATAATTTATCATAATAAAATTTTAACTGAACTTAACACTCTATTTTGCGAATATGGGAAGTGTCTACGTAGAGCGAGACTTTAGAGGGGAAAGTATATATACTTTTCAAAACCTCTATTCTGCATACATTCTTCTTTATATTAAAGTACAAATATTCAGCTAACGATAAATAATGATTGGCCTTTTATCAATACTTTATTCTTATCATTCATTTTAATTATTCAGTTTACACGCCAAATGCAGTACGTACTAGTTGAAAATATGTTTATTTAATAAATGAAAATCGTTAAGACGTAATTTAGAATAAAAAAGTCATGAGAAAGAGGGTTGCTATGTTTTCTAAGATGTTCATTTCAGTAGTTTTTGGTAATCTTTTCCAAATTCATCCCGTCAGTGATATGCACTGAACAGAATAAACGTTAGATTGCAATGCTTACATCTATCCAACAGATCTATTAAACATTTCCTTTCTTGATAGTTAACAATAGTATGGGTTTTGTTTGATTTGAGTTATGTGTGACTTTTTCCTCACAACTTTTTAACATAACTGTATGGGTTGTCAAGGGAAGGACTTGAGTCCTCCGTTACACTTGATAAAATAATACTGACTTCTGCAGTACTCAATTTTTCTTCTGGATTCAAATCATCATTTAATAGTGAATGACCACAGCTATAAGGTCGGTCTTCTTCCTTAACTTCGGGATCAGATCCAGTCTGCAGACATTCAGGAAAAAATTGTTTTACACAATCGTTTTCTATGCCTGTTTTGTCTTGATCAACCTTTAACATGTTTGTCGAAACATCATGACATAGACTGTAGAAGTGTGGTTTCAATTTATTGTGATCACTCACCCTCTTCAAATTTAGAGGTAAAGTCAAAGATTTGGAACTTCCATCATGATTAGGGAATTCCTTTTGTAACCGACCTTCATCAGGCAGATCAACATATTCCTGAAGGTCACCACATACAATTCTTTCCTCCTTATGCAACGAAGGTAAGTTTGAATTCACTTTAAGATTAATGTGGTCATATTCAGTTTCAAATGAACATTTTTCATACAAATATGTATTTCTCGCAAAACATTTGAGTTCTTTGGACATCGCATTGCCTTTGTTATTTATATTCATGGCTGCTTCTGCACATTCTCCGCCCATCTGGGAATACCGTATTTCTGTGTAAGGATCGTCACCTTGACATTGTTCTACGGGAATAAGAGTGGAATGTTCCAGCTGTCCTTCTTGCGGATGATGCTGTACGTTTCTATCTGCAAAAGATGAAATCATGTGTTCCATTTTTTTTATTGTACTTATAAACCAAAACATTAACTTCACGTTACAATCTAAAAGGAAGACAAGTTTTTTAAAAATTAAATCTGGTATTAAATATACTCCTCTGTATAAAAAACCTTTTTTGTCATAACGAAGATTTGAATCCCTCCTCTCTTGTTCAGAACACTATAGTCAATTGTAACAACAAATGCATTTATCGAACAAAGCATATAAAATGCTTTTCATTTATGACCACCTAGAAAAAATCCGGAATGTAGCAAAAGAGACTCAACCAGAATCATTTAAATTCAAATGCCGAACATGGGAAATAATGGACGTTCTCTTCATGTAAACAATTAAAGATCAATCAGGTCACAGACTTAGAACTGTATTTTTGTAGTTTTTATAAGATCAATCAATTTTCGTTATCTTCATCTTTTTCATTTAATGATAATGAAAAAACTTTACAGTTTTCATGGTATTAAAGCCCATATTCCTTTGGAACAATACAAATTGGGTCTAGAGCAATCACGGACCTCTAGAATTATCAGGAGTGGGATCAAGTGCCATGGAGGAGTAAGCATCCCATGTTGTGTGCCTTGTTTCAGAAATTTTTCGTACGAAGAGAATAATTATACCCGTATATCGAATCAACTGAGAGACATACACTTCGTAGGCTAATTGTAAATACATTGTAGCTAAGGAAAATTGGCGGTAGAAAAGTGGCCATTGACCTATTTTTCTAGTAAAATATCTAAATATGAAACAGATGTGCCAGATTCTAAGATGTCTTTCAATTCGAGTTCAAAGAGATAATTATATCAAATCACCGTAGGACTAAAAATAAATATTGTTAGGTCATAAAACAGTCGATATACTAGACTTCTTATGTCGAATTTGTAGGTTGCAAGGGAAGACCTCATCTTTTTCATGTTCGATACACAAGAGAATGCTCTACGTATGAACGATTTCTAAAACGAGGTTAGTTATTGACAAACAAGTTGATGAGACAAGAATATCTACAGTCTCGTTTAAAGTCATCATTTCGTAAGTTCTATGGTCGATACGTTTTTCATCCTAATTGTTAGGCTATTATTTACACACTAAATTGCTGGTCCGTAGGGATTCTCACTCCTCCATGGCACTTTATATATCCTACCGATGTTTTAGAAGTGCTTGTTTACTCCAAAATTTGTATTGTTTAATGGACTTCTGAGCTCGAATGCTGTTAATCATCTTCCTTTATTTCATGTAAATGTTTTTGAATAGATTCTGGATAATAGGACAACAAATTATACCACCAATCCATTTACTTTATTAAAAGGGAAAAAGCGATGAATTAAACACACCTGGTTCTAAACGGGAAAATAAAATCCTCTTGATTCCTTTTGGAGCTTTCTTCTGAAGCGTGCGACTAAAACATGAACAAATTATTATTATATTTTTTCTTTAAAAAGTAGTTTAATTTCAAAAAAACCTTGGAAATATAACATTTTATTTCAGTTTTCAAATTAGACAATGTATACAAATGCAGTTTTCAGAAATTTTGTTGACAGATTTTATATTCGTAAATATAAAATATGCCAACTAATACCCGTGATAGAAGCATGATAGTACCGAGAACGGAAGCACATAAAACATCCAATTAGAAAGAGCGTTGCTAAAGATCCAATCAGTGAACAGCTTACAGCTAACCAGGTGACATCATGTTGTTTAACATTTTGATCTTGACGCCCTGCTGGGTACATACTGGAAGTTATCAAGGCTTCCATATTTGTCGTTTTATTCGACCATTCAAAAACAGAAAACAGTTTAAGATTGGATGTTTTTGTGGTTTGCCATTCTTCAGTTTTATCCAACCAATCAGGAAAATTGGACATTTGATGCTTTTCATCGGTCGTGTTCTGAGACCAAAAGTTGTTTTCTAAATATTTTATAAAAATCAAATCTCTAAGGAAAAGAACAGAACATCTAAATATAATTTCATGAAATAATTATGATTTCTTTACCAGCCTTTATATCAGACATATACTAGTGTCTATTGTTGCGATTCTGAATGATAGTGCTACCTTTAGTACATCCTGTGACATGATGGCAGTTATAGGCTAGGCATTTACAGTGAAACTGACACAACCTTCCATAAAACCCTGACGGACAGGTCATATTACAGTTCCATCCCATGGATCCAGGTGGACATTCTGAAGTATTTTATTTAAATGTAAATGCATTATGAAGGAACGATGATAGCTTTTGTGCAAGACTCGTAAGTATGGAAGATCTTTTTTTTAAATATAGTATATGAAAACTTTAAACACTGCTGCTCACTATAATCTTATATCTCAAAATAGTTTCATGCAGCGACAGTGATCTGCCTTCATAGATAAGGCAGAGTTAACTGTAATATAATGAATAAGATAATTTGCAAGATTTAAAAGTAATTTTTAGCATTACTTAAGACCAAAGTAATTGAATATATTAATTCACACACTCAGGGTATAGGCTAATATTCTATTTTAAAACTAAAATAGATTAATTCAGATCAAGAAGTCCACCAACAGATGATATAATATTTCAACTAAACTATTATATTTCGGAGCCTACTTAAAATACCAATGATTTTGTCCATAAAATCTTTCAAAGAACAGTTTAATTGGAATTATAATTTACATTTTGTACATTAGATGTTTCTCTTAACATTTATTTCTAACTCAGTAGAACTGAGATAGAATAATAGAATATGGTAAGTGAAGGAAATTCAATGTTAATGGTTAATAGATAAAAGGCATTATTATACCTTACCGATCAGGTTTTTTCTGTCATTTGCCAATAGAAAAAAAAAAAAAAAAACAAATCTACCCGCAAGTAAAACTTACCTTTGCAGCTTTTACTTTCTGAGATTGAATGCTGATTATAACAGCATGGATTGCCGTACCTAAAAAACCAAACATACAGTAAAAATAAATTATCTAAAGTGACATATTCCATTAATCCTTTCTTATTTTCTACAAGAAAACTGTTTGAATTTCAATTAAAGTTACATGCATGACTTTATACCTATTACACCCCATTGGTGATGCTGTTGTCATTGCTGTAAATGAGATATATTCATGTAACTTTTTTATAACACGACTTACTGTACTATACAGGACGGAAATCTACTTTTGAATAACAAAGGGATCGTGTCATCAGTTACTCTGCTGGATAGTTAGGAGTAAAGAAGACGTTATCAATAGATAGCAGTAATATGAATGGTTTAAGTCCCATCCCTCAGGCCCCAGGTGGAGGTTAAAAGGGATCTTGGAATTGATTACTTTTTTGAATCTTTATCTTTAATGATTCACGCAAAAATTGCTTTACGGTGTATTCAAAACTTTACGGACCACAACGGACAGAGCTATATAGCAATATGTGACTTAAAATCCTTCCAAAGAGATATTTTTTACGTGAAAGACATCCATTCATATATCAGTGAACTTTGATTTTTTAAGTATCGGAGAAATCTTGATCATTGTATGAACTTTTTCAAAACCTATACATGGCGTATCTGAGCTAAAAATAGAATAATACTAAGAGTTCAAATCAAACTAATCACAATTTCTTAACTTAAATTCCTTATCTTGAATACTGTTCGTTATCTCCAAAAATTAATGTTTTATTCTTGATAAAAAAAAATCCAATATAAATATAGTACTACATTTTGTTCTTTTCTAGATGTCTCATGTTTTGCTTATCTGAAATGGAAAAAAAAAATCAAAAGGTCTATCATCAATTTTACAAGAACCTATTTATAATTCAGAAAATCTAAAATGGATTTCCTATTTAGTCCAAAATTGTCCTTCTCTTCCTGGTTTTTATTTAGCATTAATATTATTATATGTGAAAAAGTACAGGTTGTTCTGCATAGTGTTGAAAATTGATAAAAAAAAAAAAAAAAATCAAAGAACATAATAGAAAATGTTTGCCTTACTTCCTGCCGATTTATAAATTCAAATTTGTAAAGTAAGGAGGATATGGAGATAACGCACAGTATTCAATGTCAGAGTCCATTAAACAATACAAAATAAGAGCAGAGCAAACACGGACCCCCGAAAGATCAGAGGTGGGATCAGATGCCATGGAGGAGTGAACATCATCTGCCGACCGGTCACACCCGCCGTTTTCTCCTTGTCATGATCAGGAAATAACGGAACAATCCGTCGTCAATTCAGTGTATAATAATGGAACATTTTTGCAGTTAAAAGAAATTCTCAATCTATAAACAATTCAAATTATATTAAATGTTAAAAGGCGTTGCTGTAATTCAGAAGGTTTGATTTTTAAAAATATTCTTATTTAAATCAATAAAAACGCATATAAAGGTTAACAACCCATTTTAAAACGGAAATGATTATGTTTCTTAAGTAGCGATCTAATTGGTGGTCGGCACTGGTGCTTTTCTTTGACTGATTGGAATTCAGCTCTTGGAGTGATATATCTCCTCTTCAATCCTATTTTATTTACCTCTAAATTGTATGCTTTATTGCTAGTTTATTTAAGATTTTAAGCCTTTTTTGGATGACATTTATTACCCCACATATGTATACTAGACATTAAAACCAATTCAAAACGTTTTTCTTTTGATATTGCAGTAATTTCTAATACTTATATATAAGATTCTGTCAAAATAATTGATGATTAATTGTTCTTCATTCTACCATTGTTCAAAAATCAAAACTGAATGGTGTTTTTTGTTGAGCACACCATGTCTTCTTTAACTATATCATTTTACGTCCTCTTTTGCAAAATATAAAACATGATGGTTTACGATTTAAGAGCATTAATTAATTTATTGTTTAAATAATTTAAATGAATTTGAACTACCACATATATATTGGAATCCTTACAAACAAAGATACATTGCGAGTTCCAATAAATGTTCAACCAAGCCCCTTTCTTTACTCTTGACTAAAATATCGACAGTAGTGAAGGAAAACCTTCAAGAGCACTGTGCAACAATATATTCAAGAAGTTTTTTGAATCAGATGTTGATACTCAAAAATTCCAAAGAACTTTTGAACAATTTGAAATTTTACAATATTCTTCAATTCAGTGTATAAATAATGGACTTACAATTAGTATGAAAAACGTCAGTCAGCATTTGACTCAAAGATAAATTGTATTTGCTGACACGAATATTGTATCGACCAAAAGGCCTACGAAATCATAACTTTAAACGAGACTGCTGATATGTTTGTTTCATTGTTTGTTTGTGATTAACGTACTTCGTCTTTAAAATTAAAAATCTGGCTCTCGCGTTTCGAATCAACTGAGATATGTTAACTCCGTATGCAGGTGATGACGTTATATTGCTGCGTAAGTATGGGAAGTTGACCTTTGAAAAGTCAAAGTTACATGTATCAAGTTTATCATAGAGCTTGTTGTTAGATTACAAATAATGTCTCTTTCGAGTAAAATACAGTATCGAGATATGAAACAGATGTGTCAGACTCTGTGGTATCTTTTATTTGAAGCTCCCTGAAATATACGTGTTTCGTATCAACATGAAAATGGAAACAACCATGTTTATTTATTGACAATATGTCCTCGATTTATCTAAATGTCGAATTGAAGGTTATAGAACGTGTTTTCTTCTTTTTTATGTATAAGCATTTGAATACACTTATTTATTTTGGTAAAATGTTGTGATTACAAGTTTTCCAAAAGTTTTGAAGAAATTTTTCCTAAGAAAGGGAACTTCGGACATAAGCTGGATTTTCACTATTTATGAAGTAATTAGATAGTTTAAAGATCTGTTTACATGATTTTGGCCCTTTTAAAGTTTATGACTTAATCAGGTTCCTCATCATTAACTTATTCTTCGTCATTGTATCCAGCAGGACCATAGTTTAAAAAGATAACTCTAATTTTCTTACGTAAGTTTCAGATTTATAGTAACTTTTTGTTTTGTTTACAATATACTGGTATATAGCATTAAAAATGACACATTAAATGAAAACTTGATATTGTCTTACTGTCAAAGCAAATAAACGTCCATTTTTTTTCAAAACATGATTTGTTGCTGTCCTAGAAGTAAACAAGTGCTATCATTTGGCACACTTTTTAAAAAACAATTTTCTCAAAATTCAAGTATAAATAAATAATTTTTAAAACTTTTGGTTAAATGTTTCGGTATATAATGTTTCTCTTTAATACTTTAATATGACTTTTACTCTTAATTCACACGAATAGAATAGAAATAGTAATATGAAACTTGAGTGCGAGACAGCCCCTTGACAACGGGCCGAGACAGAGATATCTCAGCCCTGAGGGCTAAACAGCCCTACTACTCAGGCGCTGTCTCGCCTAGTCCAAAACGCCTGTATCAAGGCTGATACACTACTAGGTATATGATATATATACACTCCATATTCAGGTGATGGCGGTATATTGTTGCATAAGTAAAAGAAGTTGACGATAGAAACGTTAAAGTCATCACGTTTATCATATAGCTCGGTTGTTAGATTACCATTAACGTTTTTTTTTAACGAAAAATACCTAAGTATGAAACAGATGTGTCAGACTCTGTGATATCTTTTATCTCAAGTTCACCAGAATACTAGTATATTGTATCGACATACAAATGAAAATTACCATTGATAATTGACAATACGTCGTTGATATATCTAAATGTCGATTTTGCACAAATTCTGCTTCATATGAATGCAAAACTACGTCTGCTAATAACGAAGCGCAATTGTTATCCATGGGAATTCCAATAGAGTGTTGGAAGACCTGCTCTCCAAAAGCCATATAGATATTGTTGATCAGAAATTGAAGCATTTTTTTGATTTCAACTTCATTGTATTTATGTGTGCAAA